AAATGATGGATGCTGCACTTGCCAAGTGGTTCCAGAAAGTTCAGAAGAGAGGGGTCATCAGGGCCTTTGCCTCCCTCCCCTTTTTCATTCCTGATTCCTAGGGATGTGCCAGCTGCCAATTAGTGTAAGGCAGAGACAACCTGCAGCTGGTTCTGATTTAGCACAGCTTTGCCTGGGCAGCCTCTCCCGTGCCTCCCCAGGCAGACTGCAAAATCTCTGCAAACTTCAGCTTGGACTCCAGCTCCAATCTTGGAAACTCCGATCCTTCCCTCATACACAAACCAGAGTAGAAGTATCGCTTGTTATGTAAAAGGTTACTGCTGACTGCAAAATACAATTTAGAGGAGATTCCAGGGAGCACTTGTCTCCCTACGCACGCCAAATCTCCCACGTCCTTGCAGCAAAGGGCCACATCCTTGGTGAAACGCCATCTCCTCTGCCAGGTGCAACCGTAGCAAATCAAGGATAGAGGGTTTCCAACACCAAGACAGCAGGTTTGTCTATGCCGACATCTTGCCCTAATGGCCTGACACCAACTGTGATCTGACCTTGCTTACACACGCACTTTGCTTTGCTTGTCCTGCTCCTTTCCCTCACAAATCCTGAGCACTACAGTACCAAGCTCACCATCAAAAGTCCTGTTCTGTGACGGCAGAGGAGGGAGGAAATGGCACACAAGAGAAACTACAGCATATCTAATTTTATCTTGCCTCAATTTCTGACAGAGCAACTTCAAAGGCAGCAAAAAAGTTGCACTCACTCTGCTCCCATGAAAATCCATGACAGTTTCCCCATCAACTGCAGTAGGAGAACTTTATACTGGGAAAGGCATACATCACTGAAATTAGAGAAAATACACAGAAGAGACAGAGTTGTAACTAAGTGGGTGTTTTCAATAGTGCTGTGGATATACACAGTGACCTACTCAACCTCCGTCCCATTTAGCAGGACTGTAGAAACCCAAAAGAACAGCACATCAACAATGGAAAAAAAAAGGTAAAAGACAAGGAGGGAAACCCCCATGACTTCTTGTGTTCAGTACTCACTGTGCAACTCCACTTGGCCCAGCTGCCTTTCCCTCAGCAGAGCAAAGCACAGCTACGCAGTCAATACTTCCCTCTTTAACAGTGAAGTTCCCCTTCCTGTACCCACGCAGGGCCCAGCACTCAGAGCCCAACTGCTACATCCCCCAGCAAGGAAGGGGTAAAGCTGGCAGCACCTCCCACTACACACACCTGTATCCCATCTCATATAAACTGGGAGCCTGGGTGTGACCAGCCCGCCAGCGGTCTCGGAGGCCCCCACCTGCGGACAGTGAGGCACACGGGGCAAAAAACAAGCTTCACCACACCACACAACTAAAAAGAGCAGCACAGGGCTTGGGAAGCTCTGAAGGAGTGTAATCACTACCATGACAAACAATATGACTTTTACTACTCAGCAGCTTTCCAGCCGTAAGACCTGAGAGTAATTAACTAAATGCAACCTGAAGTGAAGACAAGGTCAAGCTTGAACGTGCCTTAAAAACTGGAGAAAGCTGCATGTGGCCCCTGAATGAATCAGATAATGCTGGGACAGGAAGGAAAGGAACCACAATCGACACGATAAACCTACTTCAAAATGTGAATACAAAACTGAGGTTTGCTGCTGTCAGACACTAAGGTGCCTGTGTGAATTCACATGTACAGCTCATCATTCCCATATGAAGAACGCTGCTAAATTCCCACTTTAAAATGGGTAGGTACTGCAGAGAGAACGCAAGACACTATCGCTGGCTCAACGAAAGCCAGTAAGAATATGAACACTTTTTAATAAGACAAGAATAAATAACTTCAATAGCACTTCAACGACAATCAGCACCTGTGCCATCTCACTCTCTGTCCCCTTCACGCTGCCACCCAGGCTGGCCCCCTCCCAGCCCACGCAGCTGCGTGACCAAGGCCATCGCCTGTTGAGCTGCAAACCAGCGCAGGGGCTGCGGGCAGCTCTGAGGAGCGCTCCTCGAGGTTCAAACACACGCGCGGACATCGCGACGAGCAGCTGCTTACAGTTGAGCAGTGTCAGTAATTAGTAAACATGACCACAGTTTCAGACGAACAAATAAAATAAATAAAGGCTTCCCAAACTCTGCGTGAGCGTGAAGCAACGTGATTTCACCCAGGGGGGAAGGGTGGGGTACTCTGAATCTCCATCCCCAGTCCAGGCGCCTTGTGACCTCCCTGTTCTGCATAATGTGAATCAGAAACGTCAGTGCTGCTAACAGAGATAAGAATTTTACCCTAAAAGTCAGGACCAAACCTGGTAACGTTATTTTCAAGAATTACTGGGGTCTGAAGGAAGGAGTTTGCAGGCTAAAACTGCAAATATTTTAGATCAGTCTGTGTGGGGATTTACAGGCTGTACACCACCACAACAGCTGTACTTGCATCCCTGACTTGCAGCAACAGAAATGGAAGCCAGGCAAGGAGACGGAAGGCAAATAAAGCACACCCAGCTGCTTACACCCTGCGATTTCTGAGGTGATGCCCGAGACAAACCAGCAGGAGAATTCGGGAGCACTAGCATGCTGCAACAGAGGTCCCCACATTGTTCTGGTGTCCCCTGTTCAGCATCATTACTCCTATATCATAAAGATGTTTCTAATAAAACACTTCCTTTAGCTCTTTTTTAAAAATTTGGTGACACTTACGTTAGTATTATGATTTTTAGAGTAAGGTGTTTGAATGGCAGCACTGGAAATCCCCAAATTATGAGAAAACATTCTCCTCCATCTTCACCTGTAAGTCTTAGATCAAGAGGAAGCAAACTTAACCCTTTACTTGTCCTTTTTGCCACAAGAACAACCTTTATAGCATACAGAAATATATTCACTAGGAGCTAGCCCGAAGGCGCTAAATACATTTCTTAACCTAGATAACAGGAGATTTGGCTGGCAAAGCAGAAACCAGAAGTTCCTGTTCTGCCTGAAGAAGCGACATGGAAGAAAAGCATCTCCACAAGAGACAAACTCCCTATGCGGACATTCACTTCATGCAGTCTGATTAACCCCTATGACAATCAGATTTATGACAGAGAACTTCTGGATGGCAGGTAAAAAGTAGGCAAAGCTTCCCGTAAACTTCAGTGCCCTCTTCTGGAAGATGTAGATTTGTCCGTCCCATGCGTGTGGGGTTGTTTTGTGGAGGTTTTCTTGGGCGGGGTGGTGGTGGTGTTTTTTTCTGAAGCCAGTACTAGACTGTAAATCCAGTTTAATTACATCAGTTTTGTTCACTGTGGAAGCAAACCACTCTTCAGTACAGCAAGCTTGTAACTTATGTGTCTTTCTGTTATTTCTGGTGCAATAAGGCCATGGGTAGTTCTGCATCTGATGGAGATTTGTAGCCTCCAGGGTAATTTTTAAAATGAAGATTAGAGGGGGAAATCCCTCAAACATCCAACAGCCACCCACCCTCCCCCAACCCACACAACAAACACAGCTTTGAAAGAATAAAATAGCACATGTAAATTTCCCATAACATCTTTTTTTCAGCCAAACTGTGTTACCATCAGTTTGGAGCATGTTGACATCAAGTCACAATTTTATAAGTGAATAAAACAAAAAAGTCTTTTTTCATTACTAGTCATACAGAAGGGTCTACTCTGCCTTTGCTTCCAAAAATGGAGCGCTCGCTAGCAAAAGCGCAATCCCTCATCGGCCAGACTCCCCTTTTGATGTATCCAATCAAGCAAAAAAGACACGAATAATGTAACCCAAGCTAAAAATTATGATATACCAGCCTTTCTGCTACTTCGGTGTGGAAGCAGACACTCCTGAGTGTAGAGATGGCTTCCGCTGGCTTTTGTCATCTTTTGCTCCTTAATAATGCCTTCTCCGCCCAGTGCCTCTGCACACTTTGCCGGTGTTCCGCTCGCTTCTCCCGTACGGCGCTCAGCAGGGCTGGCGGCACCTTCCTGCGGCACCCCGCTCAGCGGCCAAACTGCACGTGCCACCCTTCAGCATCACTCCAGCAAATGGACCACAGAATAGTAAATGGTTTTTGCTCTGTCTCAAACTTCTCCAGACTGACTGCATACGAAACTACTATACACAATTCCAAATGCAGAATTCTGTTTCTCCCCTGAAGACAAGGCTCTCTGTCATCACTGAACTTTGTCCAGAGGACAAATCACAAACTCTCCACCATAAGGCCAGGCTGCTACTGCTAAGGCAGAGCAAAATACCATAATTATTTTGCCAAGATTTGACATAAAAACTTGTTGATAAGCTTTAAATATTCTTCTCCTTATATCACTGCATCAAAAGACCTGAACTACGGAAAACTTAATTTATACTTTTCAATCATAACTACTGTGAATCGCAGTAATTATATTTGTTTTACACTTTCAAAACACAGCACGAATCTCTATAGCACATCTGATAGAAAGGTAGCTTTATCTGTAAAGTTGAGACAGGGGATAAAAACAGAACGGTTATGATGATCTCCTGTTGATCTGCACATAAAAATCTCCAGCTACTCACACTAGGGATCTCACGTTCCACAAACAGAGATAATCTGAGAATCAGGAAATTGTTCAGTTGCAACATCTAATTTTAATGCTTTGCTCATTTCTTCAACAAGCATTTCAAACAGAGGACTTCATTTAGTTTCACTGACAAGCCCTCTAGTAAATTCATGTCTTTGACTGACTTTTCTTTCATAAACCTCTAAACTTGTAATTGCCTGTATGTTACTGAATTGAAATTTTTCAAAATACACACATCTTTGATTCATTTTCCCAGCACAATGCTAGAAGTTTTTTCTTACTCCAGTCCTGTACCAAATACTGATAATGGCTCTAACTTTCTTAATTTCAAGTATATTCAAAAGTAAGATCATCTCAAAACGAACTGCTGAGGCTAGACAACCCAAGAAGCCCATCTACCTCTATTTCATCCTGCCTATTATTCAGTTACACACTGTACAGTCCCTAGGGAAAAGAGGAACATATGAAAACAACTCAGAAGGACCACCAGCCACAAAAGTGTTGTTTATCTTCAGGCAGCACCATTTCTTCTCAGAAGGTAAGAAGTCGGCACATCGGTAGTACCAGCCTGCACGAAACTGCGCTGTGCAAACGCCCTGGATGAGCATTAGTACTAATTAAACATGGACGAGCCTGCCCCAGGGAAAAGTCTTTATTGTAACGCTGCAGCATAGTGTGAGTTTCAGAAACAATTTTGGAAAATCAAACATACAAAATTCACCCCTCTTTTGGAGCAGAAGGCAGGAAGGGGAAAGAGAGACCAAAAAAAAAGCCTGATGTTTGTTACATCAGAACATTTATAATGGTACATAAAAGGACTGTAGAAGACGTTTATTCTAATAGCCTCGGATGTTCAATCCGTGTAATTGTCCAGTCTGGTTTTGCTCCTTCTGTAAACTCCCTTTGGAACCTGGAATGGGAAAGACAGTAGGTGAAGAGTTGTGAAAATGTACTTGATTCTTCAAGGGTTACTAACACCAACAAGCAACCATGAAGAAACATTTTACTTGAAAGTTATTCCTGCAAAAGCTCCTTAAGACTCTGATGCTTATGCCCCAAAATGGAAGATCAAAATTAATTCTATATTAAGAAACAAAGTGCATTGACTTCAGAGTGTTTTGGGTCAGATCCCACGGACAGGATCAAGCAGCAACAGTAAAGACCCCGATACCAAGAAAGCACTCCGTTTTCACAGTGGTAACTATGAATATAGCTTTGTGGTAGATTTTCATGTCTAAATAAAGGGTTTCGTTTAATGGGATGGTAACTGCATTTTAAAGGGAAATCATATGCTATGCATTCTACCCCAAAATTTTCATTTTTACTGAATTATACTTTAAAAAAGTAATGTATTTTCAGAAATACATCAAACATCAAGCTAACAGTAGTACTGAATCTCCCTAAAAGAAAATTCTGCAGCTGTTGATAGGAAAATGAAAATGTCCATCCCTATTTTCAAAGACTCTTTCTCTTCCTTTTGTAGTCATTAATGCCTTCCACCCTGAGCACGTCAGTTCTGACTGCTTGTCATCTACAGATAGGCCTGAGCTTCAGGCTGAATATTCATGCTCCCAGGTAACCTGCATATTGTGGGCGAGAGCAGTACAACCTCATTGCTTTGCAACCACATGCAAATCCCCTCCTGGAAGCTGTCTTCTCCAGACACCCAAATACTTAACACCAGGCTTCCGAGGCTTGTAGTATCTTTGCCCATTTGAGTTTAGGTTAGCACTGTAAACAGCAGAAGGAACACATGCTTGTAAAGGTGTCTCTGCTGGGGATTAGGAACAGGCATTCAGGGCTTCCAGGGAAGGTTCTTGAGGCTAACGGAGCCTCAGAAGCCTCCAACCCTAAAAAACATGCTGAGTTCTGCTAAGGGATGGATCCACAAAGATCTATCTGGGCAAACAGCACTGGCGTCCTCAGAGTATTTCCTTTGTTTCAGAGCTCCTGACTGTCTAGACCCCATAGTCTCTCCATTTCAATCATGGATGTAGAAGTCATTGATCATATTCCATTTCTCTCACTTTTTCCAACTTCTGAGAATGTTATTTTCAGTACATTTTGCCAACTGTGCAGGTATTTCTGCACTGCTCTGAGATTAGGACATCAACACAGACATTATTTACAAGCATTTCTACGAAAACCCATCCATCTAATGTGTGCTTTGAGGCCTGGGGTGAGAGTGGCATGAATTATCTGAACACCAGGTGATGCTTGCTTTGTTCTGCCTTTTTGCAGAAAGCCTTTGGCTAAAAAATTTCCTCTTTCATGAGCTACTTTTTCAGCTAATTGCAGTTCTGACGTCTGTGCGGGAAGTGACAAGTCAACAGCACCACTGCTTGGCTTGACTGCATTGCTGTTAGCTGTGCTACAAGACATGGGAAACAAGGACTGAAATTGGCCTAATTCCTGGAAGCTGCAGGAGCAGTACAGGAATGGATCAGAAACCTCATACAATGCTTCAACCACTGCTCTTCCTGACAGAGTTTCAGTTAATCTCAACTCAGAAGCAAGGTAGTAACATACTGACTTTAAGGGGTATTTAAAAAATTTGGCCCCAGAATAAAAGTTGGAAAGCTGGATGAGAACTAACTTAGATCAGAAGCAAGGCAAACGTATTAAGTTCTGCACTAGTACAGTGTGAATGCTTTTACATCCCAAACTGCTTTCCACACAGCTAGCCCACTCACATGGAGCGAAAAAAACAAAGGGACAAGTAAACTTACTCATAGTTTGCTGTTAAAAGATGTCTTTTTTCTTTTATGCTTTCATCTCCAAACACAATCTGGAAAACTTTGGTTTCACCTGGTACTTCATCAGGCAGGTCAGCACCATTCAGATACCAGAAACGCATCAGGATACTAACAAACTTTCTTCCTGTCGGAAAGAAATCCAGGCATAAGGTTTTTCCCACTGGTCAAATACTCCTGTCTGCAACCTAGCACACACTCTAGCGAGACCCTGGAAGGGCAGCTGACTTCGGCCATAAAGAATGCATGATAGAATAATGAATGATGAAACTATTTTTAAAGCCACATTCATGCTGTTTAGCAACAATAAAAATGCACTCTATAGAAAGGTATGTATTTTATAATGAGTTTTGCGTGACATCCTACACTATCAAACTGTATGAAGGAAAGCTGGTTACCACAATATCCAAAGCCAACCACTGATATTACAAAAGTACGTAGAGTAGTTGACACTCAGGAGCAAATTAAGAGAAAAAAATTTCCCTATGCCCCAAAACAGGAAAAAAGTTCACTGGGCCTAATAGTTTATAATCTAGCCATGGGTCTTCCAATGAGCATTTCAAATTATCTCAACTGTGTCTGACAGGGAACTGAGCACATAATGATGGTATTTAACCAAAAGAAAAACTTGTCTGAGCTCATCACTAGCTTAGAAAAAAAACCCCAAATAATCAAGAAGTCCTAGAACAAAGTATATTCCACAAAAGCAGAACAGAAGTGAAGGCGGCAAAACTTATTTCGTTATCCAGCCTTCACTGTTCTTGGAATATGTATTTTCATTGCTGAAGCAATAGCTTGCTGCGTGTAGTAGAACAATTGTTTTTGAGCGATTTGAGATTGCTAAGGACTAATAATGTAAGAATCTGAAATTACACAAGAAGACGAATGAGCAAGACCTAAACAGAAGTCCAAACAGTACCACGACTTATTAGCAAAAATCTCTCGGGTTCTGGTTTAAAAGGAAAACAGGGAACTATATCTACCCATATGAACTACAAACAGAAGAACAAGGAACGACAAACAGTACTCCAAGACACATCTCTAAAGAGAATGCCTGCTTAGTAGCTAAACCAGGAAATAAGACTGCCCATTGCTGAAATGTTTTAGAATTCTAAACATACCATCATCACCGTAGTAAAAGCGAACATCTCCTTCTGTTGTGTACATGATTGAATCAATGTCAGCTGCTAAAGCATCCCTGTGGTTGTCAGGGAGCAAAGAAATCTTTTCCTTCAGCACCTGAAGTACCTAAATTCAGAAGAACTTTCAGTTTTTCATCAGGAAACTGAAGTAACAATCTTTTCTACTGCAGTTAACGAAATGAGATATATTGCTAAAACATCTGTATAACGTATACAACAGCAGAAGTGAAAAGGCACTGGGAAGTTTGGGCTCTCCCAAACCCTGATGCAGCAACATTGAAGAACATCCATTTAATGCTCAAGCCAATGAAAACAAAGTATTTAAAAAAAGAAACGTTTTGAAAAGGTTCTGTCGAATCAGGAGCTGCAAAGCAAGGCATGTAAGCCCAGAAAATACCAGCTAAGCTTGCTTCTGCAATCACACTTACACTCTGCCTTCCCACTGCTGATTTCTCACTACGTGTACATTTCTTGGCTTTTGATTCAATTATTTCTTAGTTATCTTTCATAAATTTCTTTGAAAATCAATTCCATTACCCCTAAGCTTATCTTTGCCATTTTCTGATCCACATTTCCACTAGAAAAAAGTGCATACACAATCAGAAAAGACTGAAAAAAATCACTGCTCTGGGACCAAAGTTCCATACCACATTCACACCCATAGTATTTCAGTGTCCCGAGACCTGCACAGCTGTGTTAAGTAGAAGAAGGGTGTGAGGCACGAACTGAATACAGGCATCACCTCAAACACCACACAAGAAAGACACAAGGAAGGACAAAGCTGTGCAGCACTTATTTTTAATTCATACTCGGTTTTTAGCCTAACTTGAATCGCCATTTTTGAGTAACCACCAAATCCAGAAGTCACAAGGAAGCAAGAGGCAATCTTCACTAGAAGACGTTGGCTTCTAGCACATTTTGCAGGTATGAAATTCACTGGCCAAAGCAACAACAAAGCAGTGTGGTATCACAGCCTCGTCCACTACGTGCTCTGGTCACATGAGGTCTCCGTATCACTGTTAACTGGATCACCTAAAGAATTTAAGATGAGCAGAGGAAGGGGAGATGCTCTTTCAGAACAACTATATGAAACAAACTCACATTTTACTGCTATCTCTGCTCAGAGAGAGGAGGCAAGATTGTCCAGTGGCGATGCACTAGAACAGCACCAAAATTTTTGCTGCAAAGGCATGGTGGCAATAGGGCAGGCCACGCTGACATCCAGTAACAAGGCAGACATAGACCTGAAGTATCTCCTCCACTTGACTCTGATGCATCTGCTACCTCCGTCCCCTGGGAAGGCCAAGACAACTTCAGCAATTAAAAATTCATAAAAAACACAGAACACACAGCACTGATGTTTAACGAAGCCGGGTCAGCCACATCCCTGAGACCGTGACACAAGACTGAGGCCTTCCAGCCGAAACCAGTAACGGGCTGTATGGTCCGCTTGGGGTGGGTACGTACCAGCGCAGCAGGGATAAGCACAAACTCGCTCCTTCCTTCATCCGAACACTGGTGCGCAGACCAAACGCGTCAGCCACCTGCCTACACCAGCAGAGGCACGCCATTCCACCTACCACCCAGAACCACTGCCTTTCAATCCTTTCTGGCACCCCAGCAATCTCTTTGGCAACTGGTCCTTATGCTCAATAGCACGTATATCTTTTTTTTTTTAATACAGTAACTTTAAATGCCTTGAAATTAACCATTAAAAAGCTTCAGGACAAACAATTGCCCCGTTCCGCATTATGCTGTTTTTCCCACATTAAACCAAAGTGGCAGCATTTGTAGATAAGGACAGGCTGAATACATGATACTTCGTAACAGAAAATCAATCGCTAGAATAAGAGATGGAAAGCATTTACCTCTGCTGATACAAGTTCATCCAGCAGGTCAAGCCGACGCTGAGACAGCAGCTTTGAAACAACAGAAAAGGCCTATCGGAAAAAAAAACAAACACATGAACAAGTAACTGCAAGTTGGCTTATTTTTCAGACAAATCTGTCATTATGTGACAAGCTACCTAAATGCTCCATGATGTAAGATTTCAGAGTTTGCAGAGTATATCTTTATGGACATGGAAGCCCTCCAGCACTAAAAATGTGATTCTGTGAACTGATAAAAATGCAATGTTTCTTTTTGGTTTCTCATTTGAAGCATCAAACCTTTTGGTAACAGGCAAGTGAATGCACAGCTTGCTTAAAAAAAAAAAAGGTATTACAGTAGTCTACATAAGTTGTTTTCTCTCTTTTTGATAATTCAAACAGTCTGTGTCTTCCCCTATAAATATTTCGTTCCCCTGCCCCTTTTCCCAGGTTATCTCCCGGTTTCAGTCAAAACAGCAGCTCCAGTTAACAAAACTTCTTTATAAATCTGCTGTAGTCTCTTAACTTCGGGAAGCTCAGCTGTCCCCGCCATTTCGCAGGTCTGTTTACACTCGGTGCGTCTACATACTCACTCGGCGCACTCGTGAAACGCTACAGAGCCCTTCGGACTCCACCGCAAGTAGAAACGCACAGAACACCGCAGGGCAAAGCAAAGCAAAGCAAAGCCGTGGCTCCGCACGCACGGCAGCCAATGCGGTGCGGGGTTCTCCTGTCTCTGCCGACCTTGTCTCACCCACTCGGACGCT